AGAATAGTGGTAGCTTTTGTATATTTGCTTTTTCTGTTTAGTCTGAATAGTTTTGTCACTTTTCTTCTTTTTCGAACCCGTCTACTTTGAAGTTGCAGTTTTGACTTGTTCATCTTTAGTTAATGATTCTTTATCTTTAGTAGATATGGATTGAAAACTGGTGTTTAAAGCTAGCTTATTCTAATTTAATTAATTTACATATATTAGCATAGTCAAACCCTCTATAGTCACCTCCTCTATAGTCACAAAATTGGTATAATTATAAATTTATTTTTACTAATTAGGCCATATAAAAAAATTTTTTTGGTTTTCATATCCCAACTGGGTCAGAATTCACTAAGCCCCAAATTTTTTTTTTATGGCATAGCAGATAAATAGCCAATAGAAATGCACGATTATCAAATTGATAACCCGAAAAAATTTATTCAATAATACAAATATTTTGCTTGTACAAAGATTTACAAAGATATTTTATAACAGTAGTAATAGTGTAGTAAACTTCGTAATTTAATATTTGTAATTAACGCCTAACACTAATCATTTAGTTTGACGTTGTTTTCTCTTTTTATTTGTACTTTGAGCCTATTTAAACTGCTTTTTTGGTAAAGGTTTTCCATTACATTTAACACACAAAGGCTGTTTGCCCTTTGGAGATTTTGTTACGTTTTGATTTCCGCACAAGTAGCAAACAAGAAAGAAGATTCTTGCCGAATAATACGGCTTTTCAATCGGTGAAGCACAATTCCAAGAATCATTTACAAAAACCCGCTGAAAAAGTTCATACAAAGGATCTATTGTGATATTCTTTTCAGATCCATCCTCAGTTTTAGCAGAATTTTTGTTATTCGTTCTATTCTTCTCCTCACTATAACTATTTTTGTCATTAACATCATCTTCATCGTCACTAATTTTAGCACTTTCTATATTCAAATAAGTAGGTTCGGCAATTGTATCATCAGTTTGTTGATTTTTATCAAGTTGTTGGTCATCCTCTCGCAGGTCATCACTTTGCAGATCATCACCTTGTAGGTCGTCACCTTGCAGATCATCACTTTGCAGATCATCACTTTGCAGATCATCACTTTGCAGATCTTCATCTTGGTTGTCATTATCATTAGTAGCCTCTATACTGGCAGTCTTGGTTGTGGTGGTGGATGTGAGATCACAAGTATTATGAAATGACATTCCACATGTATACAAAATTGTGTCAAGAAAAGATTCTAGTATTTCATGTTCTTTTGCTAATAATTTTTTTGCGCTAAATAGTAGACATGGTTTTCATGTTCTGAACAAATTACAGTAATTCCGACGTTTTTTGCACGTATAAAAGAAGGGCTAAA